TTCCACTTAAACTGACTTTTTCATAAAAGTATCGAATATCTTTAAGGCACAATTTTTTGGCATCAACGACAACTCCATTTTTTCTAAATTGACAAGAATTTATTATTTCCATAGGTCTATCAGAAAGACTTTGCACGTTAGTGTCGGTTTTTAAAATGTCTATTTGTTCATGCGTTAATGAAGCTTTAATGCGGCTATATTGTGCTATCCAGTTTCTTTTATCTTTTAGCTTGTTAAAAATTTCGAGAGAAGTTTTAAAGGATTTATTATTTAGGTCCCATATATCTTTTTTTTTATTCCACTGGAGGCAAAATGTGCATAGTATAAAGCATGAACATGAATTTACAATTGCCCAATATATTTTCTTCTATAAGGTCCTCTTTCGTGACGGATTTTTGAGTTTTCTGCAAGTCAGTCCAAGAAGTCAAAAGTTTTTTTATAATATTTAGACATTTTTATTTGCCCAAAACCTCAAGTGTCCGAACAAGAACAAATAACAAATTCTGTATCATATTTTTCGTCTAGTGACGTTAACCAGTATTTACCTATTGTATTCCATTTATGTGTTTTCGAGTTTACAATACTGTACATACTTTTCACCTGTTTTGATTTTTTAAAGTCCCTTAAGTTTATCATTCTTCCCTTTTTCTTTCGGTAAACAGCACACTGTCCTTGCGATTTGGGTTGTTTTCCCATCCCAAATAAAGGACCATATAGTAGTATTTATTTGTTTTTCGTATATATCTGGAATACATCTCATTTCAATTTCGTATCCGATCATAGACAGTACAAATGATTTAATAATTAAAACTTTTCCCGTAAATGTGAGATCTCTTGATTTCCAAACCTCCATACAGCTTTTTATTTTATTTATTTTTTTCTAACCAAATTTGATCTAAGTCCACTCCATATCCGTGTTGAACTCCTAATGCTTTCACAGGCCGCTTAGACCATCTAATTTGGTTAAATTTTGGTTTTTTATTTCGCCACCTGCCTAAATACATACCCACAGTCTTTTCCATATTCATTCTTGCGCCTGAAGCGTTTTCGTACAGTTTTAAAGTTTTAAATGTTTCTTCGATAGACTCCTCATTTTTATTAAAGAGTTCAGTATCGCCAGCAAACATATTTAGCTTTGTTTCAATATAGTCCCCGGTTCTAGTTGGAAGTTTTATTCCTTCGATATTCGGATTGTTTTTAATTGATGCTGCAAGTGGTTCTGTCTGCAAAATATATAACATGGGTGCGATTGGGTATCCTTGACGAATTGAACGAGTTATGCTTACAAATCTAGAAGTAAACCCATAAGTTTGAATACACGTCTTAGCGTTAATGAAAAGCATTTTTACCCAACTCTTGAATTTTTCCCCAAACCCAAAATTTAATAAACAAAAATCTATCCATTCCCACTCCGCCCTATCAAATAGTTGGTCCAAGAATAAGATCACACCCTCCTCATTTTCTAATTCGCAAAAATCTATTATATCTTGCAGTAATATATTGCCTTGAAAAATGTTGCGCCCTTTGACAAAACGTTTTTGATCCAAATCAATTATTTGCGGAAGAACGCTTTTTAACCTTTCCGCAAGTACTTTAGATATGATTGTATAGTCTGTGTTCAAGAGAGTTATAGGACGCCAATTTTTTATGTCCTCTCTCTCCCCAGATTTAAACATAAGCGTTATCATTCCTCTGTATTGAGATTCACAGATCAAAATTTTGTCGAAAATTTCCTTAATAACCGCCACGAAGTCGTTGCTTATCAAATACCAATACGTTTTATAGAATTCATTCACAATTTCGTCTTCGCCGGGGGATTTATCAAGTTTCAACATTTTAACGGCCTTACTAATTTCATCAAAAGTTATTTCCATTTCACACATTTTTTTATTTTCTTCACTTAGTTCATGATCTAGATTCTGTAATAGATTTTCTGCAGTTAGTGAGATATTAATAAAACACGGTGTATCCGTAAACAACACCCTTTGTCGGAATGTTGACATGCTAAATCACAAAGTAACTTTCCTCAGGAAGGCACATCACCCAACATTAATAAATTTGACTCGTGATTCGACAATTCTTTTCACATGCCCATACATTTCTTGGTGAAGAAACAAATTCCAATTTGAAATTCTTTGGATTGACCAAGCCGGGAATCAATCCTATGACCTTCAGCACTCAATATGAGAACGCTACTGAGAGATCTAGGCGGTTCCACAGATGAGTATATTTATTTACCATAGAGACAATCAGTAAGAAAGATCAAATCTTTTTACACTGATTTCAAAATATTAGTATTTGCGAAGGATTCTCCTTTTAATTTCTTTGATTTTTACTTCCATTACCCATTACCAAGAAACCCGGACCTATCATGAAATTGTCTACACATAAAGATCTTTCACTTTTTGATTAGTATTCCGTTTTCAAGGCAATTACATGACATCACAGAGTCAAAATAAAATGTTGTCACAAAATTATTTCAGTGAAAACCTTGTCAAATGAGTTTTAAAGCCAAGTGGAAAGCGGTGAAAATTAGCAATTTGACCTTTGACTGATAATATGGATTTTAACTTGTTCTAAAATTAATTGTCTGGCAAATCTTACTTAAGATTAAATATATGCTTGGACTAATATTAAGATTTACACAGAAAAATGTATTTAAAGGAAAATGCTGGTGAAATGTTTTAACTTAAGATTTTGAGGTGCTTGGGCTACGTGGTAACATTTGCTAAGTTACTTGGAAACATATTAAAGCAGAAATGTGAAATAATAAATGGGAACACCTATCGGTCACCTTTTTCGTTCTTTACTTTTAAAATTCTATATTGTTTAGTTTATGGATTCAATATTTCTGGAATTTTTATTTCATTATATTAATCATATTAAGACGTTTGAATCAAAACGTTGTAACCACAAACTAAGTAACATAATATAATCTTAAAATTAAAAGTTTTTCAAATCATATCAATTGAAGCAAAAGGTCGAAATACTTGCTTTCAATATTATAGTTTCTTCAATTAATGCTAATATCACTTGCATTAGACATTTTGAAATGTTTTGCACATTGGAGTTATTTATTATTATTGGTCTTCACTGTACTTAAACCCTGCATTTTATCACCGTGTAAAATTCCGTTTCATGATATTGGTTTGTCAGAAATGATGGACCTGGTCTTAATTACTCTTACCTGGACTATAACCGACGTTTTAATATTTGACCCAACGTTGATAACCACACAAATGTCGGTTATTAGATTGTTCTTATTTACATATATTTTAAAATGCAACTACTCGAGGCTATAGGAAGCATTTTTCAAATCTCACTAGCATGTAGCTCATTTTTTAATTATATTTTAAATCTGAAAAAAACGTGCTAAGAATTTTATTTTTTTTAATAGATTTTTACAGACCAAAGCTTAATACACAGTACGATTTATGTTAAAAAAATATTTACTATATTCATATAATCATCTTTGATTTGTAAAAACAAACTTTAGCTTTTGGATGCTAGCGAAATCATTTTAATTCAGGATTTTTCAGATGCCTTCTTTGTATTTGTGTATACGTGCATGACTTATCAAAGATATATCAAGATCTACGCAAGAAAGCGATGCTGTTTCGACTTAAGCAAACCACGCCATTGCACGGTTTTATAGAAAACTGATTCTATTCAAATAATATAGAATTAGCGTAAATGACAGGGTTTTTTAATCATGTAGTTGCGGTCCCCTTAGGCAAAGTTGACCTAGAAATTTTTAGGTATGCTGTAAAAGTTCTTCAAGCTTTTATACTCTCAAGCGTAGTAGAATTTTTGGCTATCAAAAAGTATTCCACTGCAATGTGGAAAACGGTAACAATCTTTTTCTTTATAATTTTTTGAAACTCAAAATGAGTTTTAGTTTTTGATACGTAAATGTTAAGATTAAAATAAAAAGTAAGAAACGTTGTCTTTTTATATTTGTTTGAAGTGTTTTGAAAGGTATTAATTGAAAAGTTTTTAAAAAATTGTACACTACGGTTATATTCACTTTTAAAATTATTGTGTATTTCATCAGATATTCAAACCTTCCTATAATAACAAAACCTTGGATATAGCGCTTTAGGATTACGTCGTTTGCGGCTATGTTTGGGCACTTTGTTTTAAAAAGAAAGTTTTAATTTGAGAATGAAAAACCCAATCTGAAAATGATGGAAGAAAATTATATGTTATCAAAATGAATGATGTGTTGTAATGTTTGCTGTTGCTGTTCGTACGGATATTTTCAAGAACAAACTTTATTCCAGAAATCATGTATTGTAAATTATGGCGACTGTAGTTTATCGATGTTCAACTCCAGTGAATCGACTAGGAAGAGACAAATCAAAGTAACAAGCAAAAACAGGTATTTTAAAGCAGTTACAGAAAAATCTTTATGTGTTTTGTGTACTGCTTTTTGTCTATTCGTCGTCTTTTGTTTCTTTGCCATGACATTATCATTTTGTTTTCGACTGATGAGTCAAAATATCCCTTTGGTATCTTACGCCTCACTTTTAATTTCTTAAAGAAAAATCCAATTTTTTACTACAGCAAATAACGAAAAGCGTAATACACAGTATGGCATGAGCAAATCGTAAATACGTTCTTTTGGCAAAAAGGAGCGTTTTGGTTGTTTTAATTGTTGATTTGTTTAAGATTTAAATAATACTATATTTGCTTATATTCAAATAGAAGCTTGTCTTATTCGAACTGAAGAATTTTTTTACAGAAAAAGAACTTACTTGAATTTTGGAGACTGGCAGGCGACAACAGTATACCAAAAAACGTTTAACGACGAATGCGGATAACACAATTTTCAGAATCATTCGAGACTTCATAAATAACAAGATCATACTCTTGATTGTGAATGATCATGTAGTATCAATTCAGTCAGAAAATATGATCAGTAGATGCATAAATAAAAATTTATCTCTTATATTATATTCATAAACAACTGTGATAATATCAAAACAAAATCGGGGTAATTATAAGATACCTGTCTGGCAGTGAGATCCAATATATCCAGGTACGCATGAGCAAGTGTATCGGTTCACATGATCTGAACAACTTCCACCATTTGCGCATGGGTTTGATACACATTCATTGATATCTAGAAAATAAATAGATACAATGCGTTCTTCAACAAATATACATTTAAGTCATTTACACGATTACATTCATATTCATTCATTGTTTTTTTCCTTTTCTGGACAAGAAACGGTCCAAGTGACCAAAAGATGTTAGGACTATATGAAAATATAAAAAATGACGTAGTTAACTTCAGGTTTGGTTGTTGGTTCACGTCTGACATTTCTTTTTCTTCGCAAATTGTATTGTTATAAATTATGCAGTTAGTATTCTCGTTTCCATTATTTCACGTTTTCTATTTCGTGGCCTTTTACATTTGACTTTTCTAAATAACAACATGCCTCTCCCCCAAAACAAATTTGATAAAAAGATGTAGAATATACCAAATGTACAATAAAAAAATAGTTGAAGAAAAGCTTACAATACCATGAAAACCAACACAAAGTCTTCAAAATTCTAAAGCCAGGTTTAATCATACTTCAACAATAAATATGTAAATTTATTAGAATATTTAGTCAAGTTGAACGTTTAGGTCATTTTATATCTATATCTATGCAAATAAATTATACACTCCAGATAAAAAGAATGATCAACAAAATATCAATGAAAAAGAACATAACAAAGGGAAAGGAGAAGTCGTCCAGTTCATCATGCATTTTGGTATGAAGATTACCATGAATAAGTAAGATTGATTTGAAGAAGGTACAGTACATTTGTGTTTCTAGAGAAATTGGGTTGTTTACAGACAATATATCGACTAACTTTCTACATGTATTGTTCAAACATCTATAAGGTAATGTTTAGTGTGTTCGTTCATAAAGTTTTCGTTTAGGTTAAAAACAAATTAAGAATGATAAATGATTACATTGGAAGAACTTCAAATAATTACATCAACATAAGTTTTTTTTAACTTTTTCTACAGACAAATGTTAGATAATCAAAAATCTAAACACATTAACGGTCATTTTTTAGATTTTGTTTAATATACATCATCCTGTCTCCTCTCCCTTAAAACACAATACCTGTTTGACAATTTACTCCTGTGTATCCTAAAACACACATGCACATGTAGGTATTGACTTGGTCTTTACACGTCCCACCATGATGACACGGATTTGAAGCACATTCATTAATATCTAAAAATAATAATATTTTCTTGTTTTTATATTATATAAAGAAAAGGAATACTGATTGTACTAGAAACTAACATTATAAATAACAAGTTGTTTTAATCAGTAAATTGTGCTCTCGTTACCATTAATGGATGGTGTAACTAAGAAGCTTATATTGCGAATCACATGAAGGAGTATCAAACCTTAACTACTCAAATTATTTTATACCATCATCAGACTTGGCCTAAACGGGTACGACACTAACGGTTCTTTTACATATGATTGGACATATATTTGACACTAACGGTCCTTTTACATATGATTGGACATATATTTGAACACTGTCTTATATCATGTCATATGGGACACATATATTCCATAACGATAATTTAAACACGATGGAGTCCGTTAAACTTTCGAAGGGATGACTTTAAGAAGATCACCCCCAGTTTTTGGTGGGGTTCGTGTTGCTCAGTCTTTACTTTTCTTTGTTGTGTTTTGTGTACTGTTATTTGTCTGTTTGTCTTTTTCTTTTTTAGCCATGGCGTTGTCAGTTTATTTTCGACTTATGAGTTTGAATGTCCATTTGGTATCTTTCGCCTCTCTTTAACTTTACCACTTTGAATCCTCAATTTCAAAAAGCTTCCTTGTAAGCAGTGATCCGCTATGATTGGACACGCAAAAACTGATATTTCGCAGGCGCTGCAGGAATGTTGCTGCATATAAATGGAAAGCTCACGATTGGGAAGCTTTTAACCCAAGGATCCCTTGTTGTAAACTTCTAGTCGAAATTGGATATGATGAAATACTACAGAAAAAGATTACAGAGTTGAATAGTGATCCAACTTCGCAATCCATACTAAAGAGATGCACTGTGCATCTCCGTCTGATGAGTTTGTCTTTATGTATATAATAATGCGTAACGTAAATAAGTTCGCAAATGTGTTTCTCCAGACTTCACTAGAACATATTGAAAAAAATCAAGCTTTCATTACCTTATGATTTATAATAACAGATACCTGTTTGACATCTCGAACCAATATACCCAGGAACACATAGACAACTGAATCCGTTCACATGATCTATACAACGTCCGCCATATTGACACGGATTTGATCTACATTCATCTATATCTAAATTATAAAAATATTTTGCGTGACCTCAGTAATTATGTATTATTGTTACTTTGTTTTTGATATTGTAGAAAGCATGTAATAATTTCATTATACGGTGTTGGAGCATTCTATATTGGTTTGTTATGAGCTAGTATTTTGCCTATCTTATGATACAAAACTAAAATCCGGTTGGAAACATGGCAAACTCTAAATATATGAAATTCCATAGTCACACTGAATTTAATGCTGTAAAATAACTTGCCTAAGAGATGGCATGTAATTTCTTAGGGTTCATCAGAAGGAATTGAAAAATATGGCCGTGTTTACACCACAAAATTTACTCCGAATACAGACAAACCTGTGCATCTGGCAAAGTTTTAAGGCATGGCAGGAACTAGATAATTAAATTACAAATTCATTTTATGTTTCAGAAATTTAAAAATTACTTGGAGATTCCTATTTTTTTTTCGTTTCCACAGGAGCGCCAAAATAAAGTCCACTGAATTACAGTTTAAATCACCTATTGTTGTGCATGTATCTATTGTCCATGTTAATTTAAACAACTCACTTATATTATTACTGAGAGGAACATCTCAAACATTTTCCAAAACTTAGTTTATTTTGGCACCTTCTGTGGGTAAGGAAAAAAAAGGAATCACAAAATCCATAGAAGTTTATAATTTTCTGAAATATAAAATGCATTTAAAATTTAGTTATCTAGTTACTGCCATACCTTAAAACTTAAACAGGTGCACAGGTTTGTCTGTACTCTGAATAAAAATTGTGATGTAAATACGACCATAATTGCCAAAGGTTATGATGAACCTTAAAAGTTTCAAAACTTGCCTCATTAATAGAGTGTGAAAAATACAAACCTTTATGAGGTAATGGAATTATGTTAAATATTATTGTAAAATTATTAACATTTATAGGCAATTAGAGTGTGAAAATGCATATAATTTCTAAGACAAAAATAATGTATTGTGAAAAATACAAATATTTATGAGGCAGATGGAGTGTGAAAACATAGAGCGTCAATACAACAATGTCCCAAACAGAAGAATCAGAAACAAAAGATTTGTGCAAAAGGATTTTTCATTGATTCAATGAACCGAGTATCTTTTCTTAAACTGTTAATTTTAAGCTTGTATGATACAATTATATTTGCAATAACGAAGTAGAAGCTGACCTGTTTGACAATCGACTCCATTATAGCCATGCATACATAAACAACTGTATCCGTACAATTGGTCAGTACATGTTCCGCCATTTTGGCAAGGGTTTGATCAACATTCGTTAAAGTCTAAAAAAGCCATACTGTATTGCATTTATAGTAAATATAAAATCTTATATAGAATTATCAATCCACAAAACACAGTAAATTGACTAAACATATAAGTACATCAATATAATTGAAAAACAAGGAAACCACCGATGCGATTATTCTTTAATACGAAGTATTGTTATTATTCAAGTGATCCTATATTTTTGTTATTGTCATATCAATATTATAAAGTTTCTTTCTGTGATGAAATAACTGTATGGCTTAATTTGTATATATTTTTGGTTTTCCATTGACCGAAGTCACTAAGAGGGAGAGTTGAGTACATAAAAACTAGTTAAACTGTACCGGTACAAAATCAGTATACTCCACACTTGTAGTCTGTGCTCACATTTCAGTGTTTTAATTTCCTTTAACGAATTTGATGTTTATGAAAGCGCTGTCGTAATCTATTAATTGTCTTGACAACGAATTAATGATTGACACTTGTCGGTTGTAGAATACAGTATGATACCCCTAGATGTCTTCATTTTTTATATGTGTGTTTTAGTTTACTATCTTATCACCATGCAAATGTAGTCAACATTTATTCATATTCACCTGTATGACAATGTGTGCCAGTATACCCCAGAACACAAGAACAGCTGTATCCGTTTACGTGATCTATACAAGTACCACTGTTTTGACAAGGATTAGATGCGCATTCATTTATAGCTGAAAAAGCATATTTTAGATTTTTAAAAAAGGCGGACGTTACCAATGGGACATTTATAACTCATAAGTAAAAGAGAAACTGACAACACCATTGCAAAAAATAAATTGGACAAAAAAAAAACATTCCACAAACACTCCATAGAAACTTAAAGACAACGCACTCACATATGTAATCAATTTCAAATAATACATCATATGGAACCCTGTTGAATGATGAGGCTTCCTTTATACTTTATACTTAGACAATAAGCAAGACTTAAACAGGGTTTGCATTAAAATCTAAACAAATCAAGATATAGTTCTACTCCGACGCCTGATTAAGTGTTGATATATCAATTTTAGAAAATACATCACTTGTAGTTGAACATGACAATTAGGTATGTCAACACGAGATCTGTTTCAAATCCATCTTGTAGCAAGACAAGAACCTATGTGAAAGTTAGTAACAGGAAACATGCTATCTTAAATATTCCAGAAAAAAAAATCTCGATTTACCAGTCTTCAAACTAAAGAAATGTCTTATAACTCCTCAATACTCTTAAAATACCTGCTTGGCAGTTCTTTCCAGTAAACCCGGGGCAGAAACACCAGTGGTCATTGAACTTGTCTACACAAACACCACCATTTCTGCACGGGCTAGATGAACATTTTTTTCTGTAACCAATAAGAGTATAAACAGTTCTATTATCGTATTGTGGCTATGGATTGCATTATCCATATATTCAATGAGGTTCTGTTTTTCTTTTCTGTGTAACTTCACATATAATAAATCATAAGGGATGTATTAATGAGTGGCATAAATCAATCTTTAAATGGATCTCACGGAAACCTGTCCATAGCCTTTCAAAATACAAATTTCATTGATTTATATCATAATAGATAATTTGTATTTCCATTCATCTGACTTGATGAATTTGTAAAAGTATATTTTATGAATACAAATTTCTTAATTTAATCTTTGAATAAAGATAGAAGGCCAATTAGCCTAGTGACAATTAAAGTCACCTAATATCAATATTTGGGTTATGGGTCACTTTAAAAGCAGTTCACAAGATTCTAAAGAGTATAATTTCAAAGTTTTGACAAAAATAACAAGTAAGTCACTCTGTGCGCATTTAAATAAATGATGGAGATTTTTACCCTATTAAAGCCTCTAAATGTCTTTGATTTGTTTTTGGTGTCACATGGTTGCTTCCTCATTGACGTATACTAATGCTTAAATAATTTTCCCAAAAAAAAATATTATACATCAATGAAAATTTTAAAATTTAATATAAAATAAGTGGTTCCTACTATCATAAGTCAAAATTAGACAACGAATTCAGTTTCTTGTTAGGATTGTGACTTTAAAAAAGAGGCGGAAGATACCAGAGGGACAGTCAGTCAAAACACATAAATCGAAGGGGTGCTGACAACGCCATGCCTGTCGTAAATTGAACGGATCAGATCAAATCAGGGTTAGGGTAATTATACAAATGTCTGAATAATACTTCATCATTGTCGTAAACTGAAAGGTTCAATAGAAATATAAGTAACATCATTGAATGAAACAACACAACACCGAAATTCAAGTGTATTACATATAGCTCTGTCATCTGCCTCTATAGTCAATTACAATACTTTGCATATAGCAGATACATAAAGCACGCAACATATTTTGTTTAAGTTTAAATCATATTTACTCAACAATAAATAAAAGAATAGAAAAAAATATTACCGTGGCAGTCTGTTTTAAAATGCTTTGGACAGGGTGTACGCAGATAACAAAATTGTGTAGAAGTACAAGGATTATTCATTGCGCAAGATTTTTCCCGTGAAACTTCATAGTGCTCCTGAAATTAATTGTTTTACATACATTTTCTTTATTTATTTACAGTACAATAATTAAATCTGAAGTAAAAATTAAGTAGTGAATTGTCAATGTACAGTGTTAAAAAATATTGTAATGGCAAGCGACAAAGTATTTTACCTAGCTATAGATATTGACTTCATATAAATCTTATACCAAGCATTTATTGCTATAGTTTGTACTTGATCAATTTTGGTTAAATTATTAGGGTGGGTTTCTTCCAATTTTGATAATTATCTAAAAGTACATCTTGTAAATTCTGTGAATTATTATATAAATAACTCAAAAAAGTTGATACAAAATAGTAGGGTTTTTAACTTAAGACAGAGGCGAAAGATATCAAAGGGATATTCAAACTCATTTGTCGAAATTGAACTGACAATGCCATGGCAAAAAACAAAAAACGACGAAAAGACAAACAACAGAACACAAAACACAACATAAAAAACTAAAGACTGAGCAACAAGAATCCCAAAAAGGAAAAAATATTAAAGAAAAAATCCAGCTATATATTGAAATAATAAAATTTCCACTATGCAACACCATTTCTTATTTATCCTTCGTGCTCCGATTATAGATAATAATGTAGGAAGCACTTTTGATAAATATAATGAGATGGAAAAGTTTTCCAATCTTTTTAGTACATAGGATGATTTAATACACGTGAAGGACGCAACTATTTTGGTATATATAAAAAAGAAGATGTGGTATGATTGCCAATGAGACAACTCTCCACAAGAAACCAAATGACACAGAAATTAACAACTATAGGTCACCGTACGGCCTTCAACAATGAGCAAAGCCCATACCGCACAGTCAGCTATAAAAGGCCCAGAAATGACAATGTAAAACAATTCAAACGAGAAAACTAACGGCCTAATTTATGTACACGTACACATCCAACATCCAATGGATTCAGTGTAAAGATGTCATAAACAGACAGAGAAAAACATGACCTTGTGCAATGCCAAGATACAGGTATCGACAGATTGTAGATCTATGAATGTGTATATGTATATAACAATAATATTTAGTTTGCTTTTAGTTTACTGATAACTAAATCGATATTAGTACCAATAAAAACAATATTTAATGATCTAATTACAGTGTTGAATTGGTAACCTTTTAGAGCGTACGTAATGAAGATTATTCATGAAACATGTTTCCTGAAAATGGCAATAATTTGTTATTAATATTGAAAAAATTAAGACAACAATTTAAGGTTCCTGCGTCCGAAGCGCTTTTCTGGATTCACCTTCATCAGGAACGCTCAAAACCGAATAGTTGAAAGCCAAAATGAACCGAAACAATTTATGAGCTATATGACCAAAAAGGACATAAAATAATAGCCAAATCCATCTCAGGTCAACTTTGTCTGTGGTCGTTGAAATCTTGGTAAACTTGTTGTTGGCTATTACCTTCATCTTTTTTCAAATAATCGATTGCAACATTCATTGTTGTTTTTTGTTCTTTGTTGAGTAATTCATATATAAAGCATTATATTTGTAGCCCATATGATGCTCGATGACTAAATTAATATTTCATGAGAACTCTTTAATTCATATTTATTTATATGTTAAGTATCTTTACCCTGCAGCTTGTTTTGTGCACTTCACAGTAACCTTCGACGTTAGCGCACGCAGGATCGCTTCGTCGTTTGTTTCTAGTTGGAACTTTAAGAATGAGTGTGCCTCACTTTGTTGTATTTTCCACGGAGCTTCTATCGCTGCATGGTTTGTGTTAGAAAATTCTACAGAGTTAAAATTCATAGTAAGCAAAATCTCTATTGAAGTTACAAGTTCGCCTATGTTATAAATAATTAAATAGATATATATTAAATAGTTAATGTACTGAAATCTACAATAAATATGAAGATATGGGTCAATATACCATATTTAGCATCTCATAAAAAATACACTACACATTCTAACATACCAAATTTGCTGCATGTCGAAGTTACGTGTTGCATTTGAAAGTGTTCTTCCAAATACAAAACAAAAAGTATTTAAATAACTTTATCTAAACCTTACAATAAAGTTTATCGAGTGCGGTATAAACAAATTTTTAAAAAAATGACAGCTTTCTAATTTATGGTTACAGTTATAGTCATGGTGATATCTGTGCATTAAAACACTTACCCATCAAGGTCAAGATGAACGCGAAATGTGAAGGAAACATCGTGTCACTGAGAAAGACAAAAATAATATGAGGAATAAATACAAATTGAACAAGTAATCCTGTGTTAGGATGCTAACACAAAAGTCGCCAAAACAGTAATTTTATAACTTTATAAGTTTAATAGTTACTACTCTTTAACTTCATGTAATTTGCAGTATTAATATCAAGTATAAAAGGCGTGCAAATTAAGCAGCACAGAATATAAATGCATGTTTTGTTTGAAGCCATATGGTCTTCACAGATGCATTTATATTTTAAAAGAACGGTCAGGAAAACTATTTAAAAATTATAAAAATAGTACATATATTAAAGAAAATACGCTGTAACTCTGTCAAATATTTGGGTAATGTTGGTATCAAAAATAAGTTAACAAAAATAACGAACTCCAAGGAAAATTCAAAACGGAAAGTACCTTATCAAATGGCAAAATCAAAAGCTCAAACACATCAAACGAATGTCATATTACAGACGAAACGAAAGGTTAAGGACTTGGAATCACTGTAAAACCCTTGTTGAAAGTTTCTTTTGAGTAATACAAAAATATATGAAATTTAAAAAGGGGGTATATTTGCCCTGTTGTTCAGATCAGTAGCACCTGTACTACGAATAACCAGAAACCAACGCGCTTTAATAAGGTATGTTGAAATTTTTAGCGCAAGTTAAGATAAGGTATAGTTTTGACACGGAATGACTGTCACTTTATTTGAACTTTGAAAAGACAAAATATATATATGAATGCTTAAAATTGCAAAATTCAACACAGAAAGCAATGGGGCTATAAAGTAGTGGTTTTATTCCTTTTATACTGGGGAAGTAACATTTGCTGTAAACACGGTATTTATAAAAAATCTCTCAGACCCAAGTTAAGATTGAAATATAGAGGAATATTCAGGAATTATATCAATTGAAAAGTAACGAAACAAGGATAATATTAAGCAAAAAGCAAAACTACATACCCTATCACATTTTTGTTAACACGCTATTTCATGGAAGGATAAATATATTCGACAAATATTTGATGCATTTACGACTGTGAATTTAATAGCATCTGTGAAAAAATGGACGTCATTCTGATTAATTTCAGATACTTATGATTCAATCAGTAACCTTGTCATATATTTCATCTCAATTGATCGCTCTTATCATATATCATGAAGCTTGAAATAGCGACATATCCCAGCAGCTCATCCCTACCACTCATTACACATGTTTTGTATACTTCTCAGTAAATTTTGATTAAAAGTTAGTTAGACCGTAACAAAACAAGATGGGCATAAGGTTGTCAATCTTTGATGTGCTTTAGGGAAATCTTTCAACATTCAGATTAGATAACTATACGAATCAAAATGTGAACTAAACATTAAAAATTCAATACAATAAGTGTAACATTTCAAAAGCTTATGGTATGTTTTGCAGTTTACTAAAATGCCAACTGCTATTTTGGTGTTTGTGTGGTATTTTAGGGGACATAGCGTTTTTTTCTTTTCTTTATTCAGTAAATATCGGCATGTGAGGGCAATAACTCCTATATGGAATTGACTTATGATTTGGGCTATTTTGGAATATATGTAGATCTTGTCTTGCTGATCATTTTTGTTATTTTAATTTTAATCTATCTATTATAAATAACTCCTATAAAAAACGACCAACGATTTAAGCAATATTGACTTATTTGTAGATCTTGTCGTGTGGATCATTTTGGTATTCAAAGTTTCTCTGTCTATTATAGTTTTCAAAATAATTGCCCATTAAGCAAAACATTGATAAAATCGACAAAGGCCTGTAATTTCAGAGAAATATATTTTTGTAAAAGTTAACGGACGACGGACGACGACAACGGACGACGAATCCAAGTGGTGAGTATAGCTAAAAAAAACACGCGCATCAAGATGACAATAACTTGGTTCAAGACATCCGAATGTATAGTTTTGTCCGAACTGACGAAGAACTAACCACTATCAAATGCAATGCATTCTTACTATTATAGATAATATTTTAATAAAATCTTTTAGGCCGTCACGTCAGACAATAACTATAGTAATAATTTACTAGAGTCCGTTCAAAGAAACGATGACATACAAAAAAGGTCGAAATATCCATGTAAAAGTAACATTTTGAGATCGGTATGAAAGATAAGGATAGAGCTCCGAGTGAATTAATAGTCGGCTTGTTGTTATTTCATACATAAGATGCAAATTGTTTTTAGAAAAGAGTGTTCAGAACGAACAAGTAGAGCTGAGAGCTATTGCTCACTTATGATATCCCTGCTTTGAATATTCGATAAGCAGGAAGCTGAAGAAAAACGAATCTGAACGCATTAAACGGTAGAGTCTGTTCACATGAGACCTGCTAGCAAATTGCCGGAAGCTCTTATTAGCAGTTATGTAAAATTTCATACATGTCCATTATATATGTTTAGAATGTATAGTTATTCGTTTAAGATGAAGTTGATGAGCGATGAATCTGAAACTGCGTCACATGCTGGCATAACGTCTTATAACAATTTTTAGAAATCTTTTATTTATAGTTCCTTTTGGAAAATTCAACCAAAATTTCATACTTGGCAATTATGTTTATAATAAATAAATATACGATAAACAGAAGCTGGTGAGCGATGAATCTGAAACCGCGTCACACGGTATAACATGCTGATACTGACATAAAGCCAGATAACAAATTTTAGGAGGTTATTATCTGTAGATCCAGAGAAAATGCGACGGATATTCAATGGGACGAACGGACGAACGGACATATGGACGGACAGACAGACAGGTTAAAACACTATACACCCCTCTTTAGAATAGGTATAATTATGAACCAATAGGATGTGTGTTTAAGTAAACAATCAATGAATGTCGATTCGTGAAAGCAAACCACACGATGTATTTTTGTTATTTGTGTCGTTGAATTTCTGTCTCATTGACGTGTTCCTACATATCTTTTTATCTTCACTTTGAATATCAAAATAAACAATCCGTCGAGAAAAGCTTGAATCAACACATTTATTATAAACATTATTTTTTACGTTTGAATACATAATATGTATTAAAAAAGGAATAATAACTGACCTTATAACTAACTAAGGGATGCCTCTTCTAGCAAATGTAGATTATCTCAAACCAGGCAAAATATTGTATATAATGATTAAGCGTTCTTTATATTATATAGAATGAGGACACATGCATGTATATATGCAATGCTTCCTGATATGGACTTCTACCACGTCACTGACAATTATACAATGGACTTTCCAAATTTCAAATCAAATTAGTCAATACAAATCCAATGATTATCCACATCACCTACTAGTGTACATGATTGTTTTGTAAACGACCAAGGAATTTAACTCTGATTTAAGTAGAAAAGTAAAACAACGACGAATATTTACGTTTTATAAATATTTGTCAATATCCAATAACAGAAGTCTAGACACATTTATATTTATTTCATATCTGTAAAGAGGTGATCTATTTTTCGTCAATGAAATTAAGAAGTTTAGCAAAAGTGGGTGAAAAACGATTTTTTTATTCTATTAAAATATACATAAAAAACTTTTTTTTTAATTCAATGTGATTCGAAATTGTTTATACTCGTAAGCAAACCTTTTTCGAAAAAGTCTGAATTTTGACTGAAATTATAAATGAAACGATGTGTCCCCCTTTCTTGGATGTATTACTTTAACTGCAATGTTTAGTAGTTATCAATTCCCTGTCAATTATTATGAAAATTTTAGACTTTTTAATTAACTTAGATTTTATTGTGTTACATCAATGATTATAACCAGAAATAGTTATACTTGTTATTGTTATAAAACTAAACAACAGCACAAAATAGTCGAAGGTTGTACCATGTAGACAAATTTTTTTAATATCTTTCAATACACAACATCTTCAATGTAATTTACGTTTTACCAAACTAGTTTACTTCTAAAGCAGGCTTACTATGTTCATGTACCAAGAGATCAATCTTATTAGCATTTTGCGGTCTCTTCGTGTTTTTTGTAACTTGTTTCAAGTATTTTGTCGTTTCTGTAGAAATTATTAAAATTTTGTCTGGAAAGACATAAGATAAAATCTTGCTGTACAACCATTATTGGAAAACTTTAATCACTGAAGACCGTATGATAAACTCAAGCCATTTTGGTTAACTTGTGGTAATCAGCTGCGATCTATTTTACGTTTATCCTTATTTCATTTCATGGGTATTTTTTAATTAATTTCAAAAACGGAATGGATAGAAGCTTTATAATTTATTTATGATTACTGTTATAATCAATTATCAAGCCATCCCATGTTACGCCATTTTCTCTTTGCTTGAATAAAATTGTCATTGGAAACAAGAAATTCAGTGCCCAGAAATCTCCAAATACAGAACGGTAATTTTGGTTAAAACTGTTCTTCGATTTAACGTTTATTTTCTTTACAAATTCATACATTGTCATATTACTGGCTACGAACAGTGTTTGTCCACTAAAATATATCATTCCAAAAATGGCACACATACATTCAAGATATAAATGCAAAACTAGAAGCACTATATGAAAGCTTATATTCTCTGTTCCAGAAAGCCATCGATAAAATGCAACGACAGGAATAAAATCCATCCATGAGTATGGGGTATAAAACTCTTTTAAATACTGCACAGTAAAATAAAAACCCAAAGATCCAACCCAAATTGAATAAAATGACCACACGTAAAAATAACGTTGATTTTTAAAACCGATACATGTTCCAGCAAAGTAACAATGGTGATCACGTTTTAAAATGCACTTTTTACAAATGTTACAGTGACGTGTTCTAGGCGGTACATATAATTGACACTTGTCACAAAACGTCCAAGGTAGTTCACCATCGTTGTGTTGATTACTCATCACTTCCGTCGCATATCCATTCGATAAAGTATTTTCGGAAGCATACGATTCGAAATATTCCGGTGGATTTTCCCACCTTTCTTTCGTGTGAACTGTCGGATTGTCACGAGTCTTTTGAAAGTCAGTACTATACAATACTGTGCAAAAATAGTTCATTAACCATTCCAGGTCAAGAAAAACAGCTAATACCTTCATCCAATACTGACCCCATCCATCTTCAAAAAGTCGAGGCAGAATATAAACCAAGAAAACATACAACTGTGTCGTGGACTGAAAGGCAAACAAAATACGGCAAAATTGTTTGAACGCTATGGTGCTCTCTGAACTATTAGTGCGACGATTTTTCAATTTTTCCATAAAGGACGATGTGTCCGCAAGTTCTTCTTCTGGTTTAGACATATGTATTCTTACTGTTGCCATTTTCACTGGCCTGGAAAAAATAGACAAATTTAATGATGATTTTACTGAACTCAGTGCTAAGAACGATAAGGAAACATTTTATAAATGATAAAGATGATACGTTTATTACAAGGATGCATGTTCGGTCTCAATCAAGTGACATGTTACTGTACCGTACTAATGTCTATATTGCCGATGTTTACTTTTTTTTTAATTTCTTTTCTTCGTCATATATATCTTTGCTTTTTTCACAATTTTTGCTATTATTTTCAGGTCCTTTTTGGTCATACAGCTTTTCAACTGTTTCGCTTCTTGTACATCCTTGGCTTTAAAATATTCGGCATTGAGCGTTCCTAATGAAGGTAAATCCAGGAAAGTGCTTCGAACACATGAAATCTATAAATCTTTGTTTTCATTCTTTAATGTCTTGCAAAAGGATGCCATGGAGTTCTAACTAAAAAGAGCTAGTTCTGCTTCAGACAGTCTGAACATATGTAAGAGGCTAGGGGTGAGGAAGTTTGCTAAACGTGTCGTCAACGACTATTTTCAATCTGAAACAAAAATGCTGATACGGTTTAGTTTTTCATTTCTTGAGGTTTAAAAATTTGTTTAAATTATCGATTTTGATTTAGATGTGTCTCAATCTCATTTTTTTTTTTAAAGTCCTCTCTCATCATTTTATGCCAGTAATCCCAAATAAAGTAATAAGATTTACAGTATTAAATATACTGCACCAGATGCGCATTTAAACAATTGATGTTATTTCCGTCCAAAATATTTGAAATATAAAACCAAATACGTTAAACGATGAAGTGATGATAAAACCAAACAGCCTAAACCGAAAAACGGAATCAGATCTATCATATATATAATGCATGCAGCAGATACATTTCTTATTTTAAAAACAGCAAATTTCAATAAAAGATATCCTAATTATTTTTAAGCCAGTACTGAATTACTCAGTCGGACTACTGAAATTTTCATTTCAACCACCAAACATTTAAGATGAAAGTATCGTATTGTAACAGAGATCACAATGCCTTACAAATTACTAGCACATCTGTTAACATCAACGGATATTTGCTGTGTACATATGCTTAAATATTCCGATTTAGTGGTTGTTTTTGTATTTAGAGGGATTATCTTAGTCTTGTAGTATAATACACTTTCCGGTAAACGGAAGGCTGTCGTTTACAGGGACTTTCCCGAGCCAGCTTCGATCCTTGCTTCGATGTTTGCATTATCCTATTTTCTATATGTTGTTTCTCAGTAAATTGTGTACCTTCTTCGATTTTTTTTTTATTAAAGATACATTGTCATCATATGGTTGCCTCAAGATATCAAACTCAAAAGAGTCTACTAAGGTATAGAAATATGGTCACATGGACTTTTTCTTTCCGGTAGAAAAATCATTTTTTAAATAGGGGCGTTCGTTTAGCTCTGTTGGGTGTATCAATGCGTTGCTACTTAAAAATCGATCTCGTGTTATTATTGTATCACACGCTGATTCAAATGTTGATAAAAACGAGGACAGCCACCTAAAGAAATGTGGCAGAGGTGAACATGCTTGTGAACGCTCAACCTTGTCCTAACCTGGGACAGTGGTGTACCATCCCAACATTAGAACAAACTGTAGAAATGGACCGGAATATGTGAATGTGATATGATATGAACATTGTTTTGCACAAGACCGACACGCTTACATTAGAATAAGACATTTTCCAAAACATGGGGGAGAGGATGTAAGGTTCTCAAGAAGGGTTAGCAGATCCTGGTCCACATGTACCACTCGTCGTGTTACTTTCTCTAAAAATCCGTGTTAAAGACTTATCAAGACCTTAGTGATTAGACATCATGGAATAGTGGGTTGGTATTTGTTTTTTTCTAACCAAAAGACACCACCAAATTCGTGATCCATCGGTCATGTAAATTTTCTACCCCACTAAAGGCGTTTTTGACTTTTTTTGGTCCCAATCCCTGTTTGCGCATCGGCATTTTACTTTTATTATAAGACTGGCACGGTTGGGGCTATAAATAAAATAGGAATTTACAGGGGTGGAACGTTAGCATTTCTACAGGACTACCTTGAAGTTTTGATTTAGCATTTTTGAGAAAACGGTCGTTATTTCAGATGTCGCAAATATATCTAACTATGTATATGTATGATACAATAGTAAAACAAAACATTTTCCGGAAAGGGATTTGCAAATGAATGTTAACACTATTTGACAAACCTTAAATAATATTCCCATACACTGGATAATTAACATCATACATTACACCAGGTTAACACTTAAAATGTTTTGAAGTCGTCTAATAGATAAAAAAAACAGTGTTAGAATTAAAATGTGTGTATGTATTTAAAAGGATCGAAAGAAACAGAAAAAAAATGTTTATCAAAGAAAAATTGTAAGCAATCGTCTTTATCTATTTATCTACGTAGTGTAAAGGTAATGCAAGATCAACACTAACTTTCTGTGTAATAAGGTACATTTTGTAGTTATAATTTCAGATTTTGAATAATAAATTTTACTGCACCAGATGCGCATTTCCACAGTTAATATCTCTTCAGTGATGCTCGAGGCCAAAATATTTCAAAACCAAAAACCTAATACATGGTGCGGTTTGTGTTGTTCAGTCTATCATAATAGTTTTCTATGTAGTATATGTGTAGACAGTTTATAGTCTCGGCCTTTCTCGATTTTTGCCATGGTGTTGCCTGTTTCTCTCGACTTACTTTTTTTAAGCTGTACATGTATATGTTAATCAACTTTATGGACCTCATCAAAGGTTTTGCTTAAGACAGCGAAATACCCTCGAGTTCGGTATTTTACATTTTCGTTTACAGGGTGTTGTCTTCATACACCACTATGCTTCTGATATTTTATAGTTCGATCTTAGACCTAAAAACAATTTTTGATAGGCAAGCAAACCATTCGTATTGAAGTCCGAATCTTTTGAAAAGAGTCTAACATATATCTAACAGTTGATTGCATGTTCCCTTTCAATAATGTTGGTATAAATCTGACATAGTCGTGTCAGTCAAATGCAAAAACAGGATATACTAACGCGAAAGTGCTTCATCGTGTATTGAAATTACATGCAATTTTTTGTTGTTGAGACGTGAGTCATTAAGGGATATATCTCATACAAAACTTTTAACAGTAGAAGAGTCATAATTGTACATTTTATTTTAATATTAATGATTAGGGCAGAAGGGAGTCAATATTTGAGCTAGGTTACAGATTACATTCCACTTGTAGAAACTAAAGTTTAGAATAAACCTAAAACATGAAAGAGCAGGTCTTACAAGGAAGAAAAACGTTGTTATCTTCGATCGTAATATTGCTATTTAAAATGATGCATGATAATTAAGTATGGTACAAAATACGGGTACATTTTAATTAACTTACTTAATTTGCACGATGATTTGAATCCGAGGAAGAGTTGAATTTCTGCAGATGATGAAAAAAGAAACCCTCAAATTTATATTATTTGTTTATCTAGCAACAAACCGTACCAACCAGGTAAATTTCTTTTCATGTTCATTGAGCGTATATACATATAAACAAATCGATACAACTGTCATATTATGTCTATTTACATTTTTTTGAGGTCATTAACCTACCTTTTAAATATATAAATATGTAAATGTGAATAAAAGTAATAAAAATTCGTAAGGGTTCCGCGGCAGTTGCGGATCCAGAGGGGGCGTAGAGAGCGTACGCCCCCTCCCCCCCCCCCTTTTTGCTTGAACTTTTTTTTTGTAAAAATTATTAATCAGAATAGACTTAGTGAACTTTGCCATTTCCCAGCAGTGTATTTTTATGCGACAATTCTTTACTTATAAAGATATTTTTCGCTCGTATTTACTGTAATATATTATTGATTATGTTGAAGGCATGTGATTCGCTACGGTGGAGTTGATCAGTACGTCGAAAAAACGACACTCAGTCATGCACTTTGAAATTCAAATTACAGTAACACATTGCTTAGGCGGAAGATGACAAGCATGACGCCTTCAACGCGACAAAGGATTGAGCAAGAACGTGTTGACTTCTATCTCACAATTCCACTCAACAGAAAGTAATACTCTATTACACGCTCATGAAAAAAAAGTTCCAAAGCAATATTATTCACCTACGAAAATATGTGTAACCCCACACGCCACAGCCATTTAATAACATTGCTGAATAATGATCCCCAGTCAGTAAGCTCTAGAAAGATTTAAAGTCTAAGGTACGGACCATTTGATTTGATAGGGCAGTCTGAGATATTTTAGAGAAACAATTTTAACCCTGGTTTTTGCCTTAAACAAAACTTCTCGCCGTATCTGTATTGAAAACAATTACCGTGTCCCCTTTTGAAATAAGAAAAATAAAATCCAACAAAATTATTCAGCATTAAATGAACATGGTGAATAAAAAACGGGCGTAATTTTTTTGAGGGATTTGCATGTAAATCCCATATCTGACCGGAATGTCTGTTTCGCCGAATTGATATACTGAATGCGCGGAACCCAGTGTCTCGCCTACTTTTGCTGTTAGTCGCAGGTTCAACAAAAATGGGGGAAAATTTTAAAAAATTTCCTCTAGATACTATCTTTTGATTGTAAGAAGTTCTGTTCAATTTTGGTCAAAATCCAAGAAGGTTTATGAATCTAATAAATGTTTTAAAAACTTTAGCTGCAGACTGTACTTAATGTTAACTGGAATAAAACTAAGTCCATTCATAAGTAATATACGGAAAAACAGGAAATAAATTTTTACAAGATTTCCTTCTAGATACTAGCTTTTGATCATAAACAAGCTTCTGTCCAAGTGTGGTACAAATCCAGGATAGTTTAAGAAAGATATTAAAAATTGAAAAACTTTAACCACAGAGTGCATGTTATGTTAACTGGCAGAAAAACTAAGTCCATATATGAGTAAAATACGGATAAACATGATTTTTTTTTACAAAATTTTCTTCTGGATACTATCTTATGATTATAAACAAGCTTCTGTCCAAGTTTGGTACAAATCTAGGATAGTTTAAGAAAGTTATTTAAATTTGAAAAAAACTTTTACCACAGATTGAATGTAATGTTAACTGGCAGAAAAATTAAGTCCATTTATGAGTAAAATACGGATAAACAGGATTTTTTTTTACAAAATTTACTTCTGGATACTATCTTATGATCATAAACAAGCTTCTGTCCAATTTTGGTTGAAATGCAGGATAGTTTAAGAAAGTTATTAAAATTTCAAAAACTTTAACCACAGAGTGAATATTTGTGGACGACACCGACGACGACGACGACGCCGACGGAATGTAGGATCGCTATGTCTCGCTTTTGCGACAAAAGTCGCAGGCTCGACAAAAAGTAAAGAGATAAGATAGAAAATATAATGCCACCAAATTGTTGTTGAATCGTAAAGATACATTGTTAGGCCGTACCAATTTGATTCCTAGTTCTTTGGATTTTCCCGCTCCTGTTTTGGAGAAATTGACTTCTCAATAAAAAAAAACTAATTACCGCTTCCGCAAATTTTAGGTCCGCATGCCACTCCAAAATCATTTTCTCCTTGAAATTTTTTTTTCACTTAGACGTTTTTCTATTGCATATATTGCTCCGATCGATTCAAACGAACGTGTGAATAAATCGATTTGTAAATAAAAGGTCAAAATTCGGGATGCGAACATGCAGTTGTGTCAGCTCATTGCCTTGGACAAGTAGTTATTGAACACACAGTTATCCGAAATGCATCTCGTTTTACCTTTGAAGGCCTGTCCTAGGAGGCAAAAATTAAAAATCTTTCGTTAAATGACCACAAATTCAATCACATCAATATTTGTTAGAACCATAGTCATCCCCGATCCTTGTTTCAACAGGCATAAACATATCTATCTTGGATGAAATTAATTGTGAATTCTCATAAACTTTTTAAAAAATCACAGAATTATCTTATTTTGACTCAACCCCATATCCCCATGTTAGTCTTTTGGCATGCAAGCAGAACTTTTTTGTAAGGGGAAATTTAATAGAGTTCCAACGTTCGATATCAAGGTGGTTGTATTGTGATTGGCATGTTCATAATAATTAGGGATGTGTAATTGGTCCAACCACTTCCAGTCAAGCTAAAGAGTTTTAAATGCATTGCAGCTTTTAGTAGCAAAAGGAAAGAGTATTTTGCTCAGTCAGAATAATGAATGTGGTGACAGGTATCAGTGTATGTAATGTGCGAATCCTATAATGTCATTTTTACTGTATCCGTGATGAATTTCTGATGTAGAATGATAAATAAACAGACGACAAATTCAAAATTTTTGAATAAAATAAGATATAATATATAATGTGTACTGTTTTTATAAATTCATGATATAGGTATGAGATGCGGACGGGTTTTCATCGCGCCTACAGCCATCCAGGTGCAAAATTGATACACAAATAGATAAATATTAAGAATAGTTCACGAACAGAGCGTGCAAGAGATTTAAAAGTAAACAGTTAAGTTTCATTTTCAGAAAAAAATGTACCTTTTAACATAATTATTAATGTTGTTTTACTTAAAACAGGTTTTGTTATTCAGCTTGTTGATATTGAATCAAATTCCACTATGCTGTTTTCGTTATGCGATTCATGTTTACTGTCTAATAATGATACTAGACTTTCATTTTCACTGTAGGGCGATTCATTTCTATTGTATATGCGATGCATTTTCACAGAAGGGAATTAATTAATTTTCATTATATAAAGTCTTAATTCAGCCGACTCGCTAACAAAATTTATGAAGTCAGAAGGATTGATTATATATGCATACTTAGTGAGTGAAAGTCTGAGGTAATATATCAATAAATTCCTTAAACGTGGTATTTATTGCTAATATAGTCAGGAACTTTCTATACTACTAAGTTAGTATAGACTGTCCCTGATATAGTCAATTTTATTTTCTCAAATAATTTGTCCTGATCTATATGTAGGATAAAATTTATTCTTTCCTATGACACGTCATCATTAAATACATATATCTTTGACAGTTAAGCCAATCCACGTCACCGAAAAAGCAAAGTTTCTGTTTCGGTCTAAATCTACATCGCATACTAATAAATTAAACGTCATAAGAGCTAATTTCCTATTTTTGTAGTTAAAAGGTGTGGTTGGCCTTGATTGTGTAAATGTTGCCTAAGCATTGTAATTAAGATTGAGCAAACGTTTATACAAACAAAGCAAGCAAGCCACCCAAACCTTTAAACTACAAGCGTTAGGAAAATAGCTCTAATGGATGCATTTGAGATAACACAGAGCATTCACAAAACGATCTTCAATTCACGATTGAATGAGTGGAAACGTTTTCATCTTGCACAAACAATTGACGCTTGGGTGACTGGATAATTGATATTTATCATGCCATTGTGTATAAATCTTGTACAGTAAAGAAAGTTCGAGCAACAGTCGAGTCACCTTAAATATGCTTGAATTTCTTATAAGTCGGAGTTACAAATAAGCCAATGCGCAATTGTGAGAATACAAAGAAATATTGAAAGCAGTTTATTGTTACATGTTTAAATGGTACCACGGGGTATAACCGCCGTACAGTTGATTCCAGACGTTAATCGCTACATCGCGAAGCAATGTTGGTAGATATACCGTTCTTATATTTACACCAAAGACTAATTGACTAACTGTTCAGTTAAGTATTCAATGTTTATGAAAACAAAGTTTACTGCTCCTGGCAGCATTGTATATCATTTATATTACATGAACACCATGTGACTATTTTAAATAGACAGGTCTGTGAATTACTTGTAAACATCGCGAAACAAACACTATGTAACTAAGTAAGTAAGTGATATCATTTATTATAGTGACATGTGTAGCGTAGATAATATTACATAATAAGAATACAATATTTAAATAAATTTACACACCGTTGGACCTATAAGTAACTTTAAACCTAATATTCAAATTTTCAATACGCAATGTGAGATTGTTACTTAAAAAGAAATTCCTTCCTTTTACAGAAAAATAAATTTAAATATTTGGCAGTTTGTCTTTGATGAAGTGTCATCAAATTAGCAAATGTTCTGTTATCAATAAAATTACTATCAAGGTTCACTGATTCAAATAACAAGTGTCTTAAATTATGGTAAGCTTTACAGTACAACAAGAAATGTTTTTCATCTTCGACAGATCCGTCATCGCAGAAAGTGCAAAATCGTTCATCAGGAGCCTCATTTCTAAATCGCCCAGTTTCAATGCGCAAAGGTAGTATTCCACAGCGAAATTCTGCCATAACTGATCGTTCTTGTTTCTTGGTGTTCATTTTGACGTAAAGTTCAGTCTCGTACTTCTGTTTAATCGTAATGTAAGTCCTTAATTTGGGGATATTAGCGATTTTACCAGTCCAATCGTTTTCACAGTATTTCATAATCTTTGTTTTAAAAAGTTCAATGTTGCATACATTTACATATTCATAGCAACTGTCTATGTCCACTTTGTGAAAAATTTCCTTCATCTGAGAGCTCGACTAGCCCGATTTATTATACATTGTAGTTCCAAAGAAAAAGCGTTTTCGTTAGTCTATCATTGTCCATTTTTACAGCCGATTCTATCTTCTAACCATAGAAATCCATCTATGTGTAACTGAAACTGATTAAACTACAAATAGAGCATAGTCGGTTGGCTCTTTCACTTAATGCGACCGTGTATTTTGTGCTTTGTTGTTGTTAAAATACATTATACGAATGAGAAACCCGTTGTTTTAATTTTATTTGAAGACATTTACTTGAAAAACTGACCTCAGAATTTTGACACTGTACGATTCATTCTCTTTGTAGTTTGTTTTCTTTCTTTAGTACCGTTTGTTGTACATTCTTGTACTGTTCGTTGTGCAAAAGCCTATCAATTCGATAGAAATATGTATGACACGGCGTGACAAATGTTCAAAGCTTTTTTAAGCGAGTTATAAAACTTTTCAAAGAAAATTCGTCGTAGAAAAACGTTATATTCATGGATGTTCTGCTCCAGTAAATTTTCGGATCCATGACAAGCTAATAGCAAACTCACCAACAATATTTGAATATTCATGATATGAACGTGGTTATACCCGTGTATATTCAAGTAAACATCTACGACTAGCTTGCATTTCAAATTGTAAATATCATCAATGTTAAAGTCATTTAAAAACTATTTTCAGTTGTTGTATGTCGAATAATCATATAAAACGACAATGAAAATTCATCGCACTTCCAAAAATTCCAGATCAGAAATGATTGCACTTACAGTGATAATTCATCGCATCTATAGTTAAAATAAATTGCATTCAGTAATCAATATTATGGATTCTGCTGCTTAAATAACACTTTTTTGGATTTTAATCCTGTTATTATACATTAAATTCTAATGAAATTCTGTTAAAACATACATTCAAATCTATTATTTTGTATTTTCAAAAAGTAAACAAACGCAGTTTTTCCAATCATCCTTTATTCTACAATAGACATACTCGCATACAACAGTGAAAATGAACTAACTGGATTCGCACTTTATATACACTGGGTATTTTAAGGGAATATTTTAATACATTGAAATCTACATGCATACCAATATAACTATCTTACTCATGATTTTGTTTTAGTACAAAGCAAGAAATATTCACCTCACTTATTATGTTGATCCTAAATATGGATAAATAGTTCCAACTGGATGTCAAGCAGCCAATAAACAATCTGATGTTCAGTAGTTGTCGTTTGTTGATGTGGTTCATAAGTGTTTCTCGTTTCTCGTTTTTTATATAGATTAGACCGTTGGTTTTCCCGTTTGAATGGTTTTACACTAGTAATTTTTGGGGCCCTTTATAGCTTGCTGTTCGGTGTGAGCCAAGGCTCCGTGTTGAAGACCGTACTTTGACCTATAATGGTTTACTTTTATAAAATGTGACTTGGATGGAGAGTTGTCTCATTGGCACTCATACCACATCTTCTTATATCTAATTACCATATAATGAAAACAACTATATCAAAAAATATTTAATATCTTTCAGGGGCATTTTTTTGATACACACACATATTTTAATTCTATTCAACATATGTCATTTACCTAATTAACATAATTCCTCTTGTAAAACAGCATCTGCTATGCTTCCTTAATATATATGTATATATACATGTATAGATTTAAATGAAAATTCACGCAGACAAAGCTTATTTGAAGAAAATAATCAAGATTAACTAAACCACAGTGAGACAAGAAAGTCTGGTATGGTACAGGCACCAATAAATCAAATTATATGCATAATTAGAGCATGTTTCTCCTCGTTTTTCTATGAAGTAACCCAGTTATAACATGCACATAAATTCTAAATCGCACAATTTAAAAAAAATTATACCGCTCGCTTCACTTGTAGAGCACTCGCCTAAAAAAAATCATTTTCAAAAAAACATAATCAAATAATTTCGCTCGCTCGCCCCATAATTTTAGAGCTTTTGTCCGAAGAACTACAAATCAAATTGGTGTGGCCTAACAGCAAGAATACGTTAAAAGGGGTAAAATAAGTTAAAATACTAAAGAAATTAAGAAATTTTACCTCAAATCATTTTTCCCCAAATCGCCTGTGGTTTTTTTTTTGATGGATTTTGCACCTGTTGATGAATGTCTGCTCTTTCCAATGATTTTTTGCAAGTTTAGACAATAATTATAGTAAAACAGTGTCAACGGTTAAAAAAGAGAATTGACTGAATTCAACCTATTCTCATCAAAACAGAAACAAATATCAAAAGATGTTCTCCAGAAAAGTGCAGGATAACATTTTAATTTTCTGAAATTTAACCTTTAAAAAGGGAATCCTTATAAAATGTGGTATGATTGCTAATGAGACAAATATCCACCAGAAACCAAATGATGTAGATGTTAGCAACTATAGGTCACCGTACGGCTTTCGAGTTGGAACTTTTAGACAGAATGAAGAAGACGAATGGATGTTTTAATCAAGATTAAAAGGGAGAGGGTTGAATGCTCAAAACATAATTTAATCCCTCCTGTCGAAGTTTCAAATCTAGTCAGTTTTGTTTGATGTAATGATTTGGTATTCAATATTTAGTAATATTTATAACTGATTGCAGATCTTTGATGGACTGTGATCAATATATTAACGTTTTGTCTAGACTAATGATAATAAAGTCTGGTATGATCTTAATGCCTACTGTGTAGATACCTGTATAATTGTTAACACATGCACAGATGTCTAGATGACTTTTGTATTGTTTGTGTTGTGAGGTTGCTGTTTTACGTATACCTTATTATCTCTTATTCATCCATGATGTATTTTGATATGAATTACCGTTGTTGAAGTTGCACTTGTATGACTGTACGTCAAAGTGGAGTTTTATCTGCCAAATTTAAGTATGTCAACGAACTGCTCTTTTGTTTGCTGTTATTTTTGTTGACTACACCGGTATAAGAGTATATGGACGCTTGAAAAATTATAGTTCATTTTATTTTTGTAAACTGTTTAAAAAGGACAATAACTAGCTGCCTAAAACATTATTTCAATCACATCTTAAAAATGTTTACAATGCTAATAAAACAGAAATGTTCTTTCCACACATAATCATGATAATTACTGATATGTATACGTTATCTGCCTTTGTTTATCGGAAGTCATAAACTGAAACGTTCATTCCGTCCGAACCGTCACGAAACAAGTGTAATTCGAACTGTTCAGGTCTATGAGCTAGCTCTTAAAACTGCTTTGTATGCTGTTTGTTAATTGTTCAAATCTATTTGAGTTGATATTTTCTGTTATACTGTAGAGTTAGGTGCTGGTTATGTTTAAAATTGTGTGTTAATGTACTTTTTTCAGTCCACTGATAGAGAGGAAAACGGTAGGGGTTGAAATCTCAAAAAATAATTAAACCCCTTCATATATTTATCTACCTGTCCAAAGTCCAGAGCCTCGTCAGAGATTGTCCCATGTCATATCTTATTAGTATTACTATATTGGAAAACATGGTATTCGTGGCAGATCTTTGAGGTTTCTGTTTCATTTTCTCACACTTGTTTTAGACGCGAGGCGATTCAGAGCTTGATTGTGTACTTATTATATACACACATGTTTGTTGTGATGACTTTAATATGTTATCTTTCAGTTGTTTATTAATTGTATCGTTGGGTTTCTGTCTCATTGGTGTATATCTTACATATCCCCTATATTTATATAAATATAGAAATATCTAAAAATTTAAAGAGTTCATTTTGTCTACTATATGCACGCACATCCTTATATTCCACGCCAATTCGGGCTACGAAATGCCAGTGATGTTTTCGCCATCTGAGTTACAATTGAATGTTTCTGTTTGTAAAATAACGCAAGAGCGAATTGGAACTCTAGAATCAAATTATTATTATGCATGTGAGTAATACTGCATGCAATTCAATGTATAAATTCTCTTTAACAGTACTGTATGACTAATATAGAAGCAGAAAGTGTTCATTCCTAAATTCTTTAATAAAAAGACTTGTCCAAAATTAGTGTGTCCAAAGACATTGAATTATATTATAACAGGAACTCCTTAAACTAGTGATGGTGGTGGTCGGGCAGGAGTTGTCGGAACTGGTGTTGGTGGTTGTGTGGCAGGAGTTGTCGGAACTGGTGTTGGTGGTTGTGTGGCAGGACTAGTCGGGGCTGGTGTTGGTGGTTGTGTGGCAGGGGAACCCGTTGGGACTGGTGATGGTGATGGTGGTGGTGGTGGTGGTGGTGGAGTAGTTGGGGATACTGGTACGTTCGTTGCACCTTGGGGTGGGCCTGCTGGATCTGTTGGGCATGTAAGCGTTGTACAAGTGAACGTTGGAACGCTATTTGTATCATATTTGAAAATGAATTTCATCGTATGTTGCTGAACGGCCATTTCTTCTGTATTGATAGAATAAACATCTTTTATTGGTTTTGGACCACGCCCTTGTCTTCCTCCACGACCACCTCCTCGACCACCTCCTTGTTTTCCTCTAAAACCACCTCTTTTACCGCCTTTTTTTCCTCCTCTCATTTTCTTATTGCCCATTTCTTTGGTGCTGCCAAGTTCTTTATTTCTTTTATTTCCACGACGTCGTCCTAATACACTGAATGGTTCTTCTACCTATGTTGATATAAAAGGAAATGAAATTATTTTGTTTTTCAAAATTAATACTCAAATTACAACGTACATATTTACTTTATTTTACACCCCTGAACAGTCTTCGGCAAGTTTAAAAAAGGGTTCAATCAGCTTAACCAGCTAAGTACTTTATCTAATATCATGCTATAAATATAAATATTATAAATGCATGACTTGTAACATGCAGTATACATATAGTATTTATATATAGACTATCAACAATATTATGATAGATTAAAATGCAATATTTTCGGACGCCAATAAATGAAAGGGTTACCACCATCATAATGTGTGCATACGTACCTATTTGACGTTAATATGTTTCTTGGTTGCATTAGGGGTTATGCAAATGTAAATTGCATTTTCTTAAAGATGGGGAAAACATTTTGTGTAGATACCCAGTGATGAGCAAAGGTAATTATTATATTCATATTCAACTTCATAGAAAAACTGGGCGATTTGAATATAGGTTTATTGAGGCTTTACACCGATCGATTATTCTTCAGTTTATTTATTAACACGCATAATTTGTTACTACTGATAATCCTATCAAACTATTTTCTGCATATTTTCAGTTATACTGTTATGAGTTTCGTTAACAGTGTGGTTAAAAATCAGAATTATTTCAGCACATTTTGACCATTTGTATATATATAGGACGAGAGCAATTATTCACATCAGTGGGTGTCTGTGGTCGGATATCTCGTTCGAAACCATCTCCTATGAAACCGTTCACTGGGCCAATTGTACTTGTGAAACATGTCAAACTATTTTACTCAAAGGTCGGGATTTTGGAAGATTAATTTTGTTACTTTAGTTTGTGAGAGGTATTAATTCATGCATCTTAATTTAATTTAAATCAATTTTTATTTTATTTTTTTTCGTTTCTTTTGGTAGGACAGAAAATAGTGGTTAATTAATTGTCAATGACTAGTCTGGGGTTTTTGTTTTGGTGAGTAAATAAGAAGAACGATGTTTATATCACTAACAAACCTATTGAACACATAGTTTACAAGTATATATATTGAACAGTCCTGCTAGGGAGACAGTTTTGTGTTATTTGTATTAGTTTGTTGGATTAAATCGAGAATAATTTCAATGTTTTAATATGAAAAAAAAAAGAATTTATGCCAATTTTTCATATGCATTTAAATTTTTAAAATTGAACCTAGGACATAAAGAGTTGTAAATATGTCCTTGACTCAAAGTAACCAAATAAAAACCAATAAAGCTTAATCTAAATTTACTTTCACCTTTCAAAATATCAGAAAAATAATTATGTTTTGTGTAATTTTAAGAGTCAAATATATTATACATATTCATGCCGAGAACAAGTTAAACCTAATAGCTATAGAAAAAATGTATGTGTCATCGATCGGGATGAAAGGCATGTTTGGACTCTCTTTGGAATAGGATACTGAGCAGGGATAGAAAGCTTTCGTTACTACCAGCAAACTTAGGATCATGGCAACTTTGAGACAGCCAGGTGGGAAATGAACATTTATCATTTCGGGGACTTTTAAAGCTGACTTTGCGGTATGGGTTTTGCTCATTGTTGAAGGCCGTACGGTGACTTAAAGTTGCTAACTTCTATGTCATTTGGTCTCTGGTGGAGAGTTGTCTCATTGGCAATTATACCACATCTTCTTATTTTTATATTTCCTCATTGACGAAGACCGTATGGTGACCTATATATGCTAACTTCTACGTCATCTCTGGTGGAGAGTTGTCTCATTGGCAATCATACCACATCTTCTCATTTTCATATTAACATTATATCCCGCACCATATGTCGTCATTAAAAAAATAAGGAGTCATGGTATAATTGCAAATAAGACAACTATGCACCAGCAAATTTAAGCAACTATAGGTCACCGAACAGCCTACATCAATGTGCAATACTCATACCGTATACTAGAAGTAGGCTATTAAAGGTACCTTTGTGACAAAATGTAAAACAAATCAACCCAGAAAACCAACGGCTTGCTTTATGCTTAAACAATAAATGAAAAAAAAAACATGCAAAGACAACCACTGAATCACATGCTTCTCGCTTCGAACAGGCAAGGTTGAATTGTGGCGAGATTAAACAAGTGTGTCAGCGCTCAACCTCCCCCTAAACCGGGAAAATGGTGTAACAGCACAACGTGAGAACAAACTGTCTTTTAAAACAGTTGGAAATTATTTCACGTCTCAGATCTACACGATGCACAAAATATTACAAACAAAAGGACAAATGACACAATGCACGGATCTCAGAGTACCCACAGTCAAATCCAATTACATCGGAACAACCAATAAATAAATCCAGTATTCCCAGACTTAAATATCAAATAGTACATATCCAAAAGGATTAGGTGCAAAGACTTCATAAACAATCTGAAAACGCTTGGCTTAGTTCATTTCCAACATATAACTTATCGATAGGATGTAGGATCATGCGTGTTCATTACAATAGAATTTTTTTGTTTTGATTTATCAAGAATAAAATAAATGTTACCACTCATAAAGACAACATATAAAGATCACACAACAGTTCCAATTGTCTTTATGAATTAGTTACTAGTAACTCAAAAGATTAATACGTTTACGTTGATCGTATCTAAGTTTATGGTCTCTATAAACAACATTACTATAATAATTTAACAAGCACATTCAAAACCCTATCCATTCAATTTTGTTGCCATTCTTTGTTTTTGCATTACGAATTGTTATTTTCATGTAATTACAGTAGTAGAATATTGAGTCAATTGAACTGAAGAAGGCACCAAAAATATTTAAATTTTAAACGAATTAGCACCAAAGAAAGAAGTAAGTTCATAGACGAAGGGAACAATATATAAGAAACATAAAAGTAAGGAAGTAATAAAGGCGAAAACAACATGCGAGTTGAAAGAAAAAAAGCCATATAGACAAATAGAATAAGGAATCTTACATAAGTGCCAACATCAGAACTATCTTTTTGTCGTTTTTTCATTTTAACTCAATCGTTTCTTTACTCTTCCAGTTTTCATTTCATGTATAATATAAAAATAAGGAGATGTGATATGATTGCCAGTGAGACAACTATCCAACCAAGTTCGAATGAAGTGGATGTAAGCAATTATAATTTTTAATACGTTTTTTGTAAGTGATAAAAATGCATACCTGGAAACCCCATATGTTTTCAGAAAAGCTAATTTTAGCGATGAATTCTCCCTCTCCTGTTGTTGTCGTTACATCAAATACACAAGTTTCTTCTTTTTCCGCAGTATCTTCTTCATCAGGACAATCTTCATCAAATTCAACATCTTTGTCATCCTCATCAAATCCAAAATCTATGTCATCTATGTCTAATCCAAAATCTTTGTCATCTTTATCAAATTCAACATCTTTGTCATCTTTATCAAATCCAAAATCTTTGTCATCTTTATCAAATCCAAAATCTTTGTCATCTTTATCAAATCCAAAATCTTTGTCATCTTTGTCAAAACGATGATCAGCAAAACTCTTTTCGTCATTAAAGCCATCATCGCTGTCATCATCATCGTCATCATCAAGACCATACATTTTGATACCATCAATGGAACTTGAATCCGATTCACTCGAATCTAGATCATTCGAATCATTCAAATCGTCGAAAAGGTCGTCTTGATCAATATTCTGACTATCTAACGCACCAAGATCAGTTCTATCTTTACCATTTGGGTCATCGGTGTTAAGTGGCTTATTAGGTTTGCAATGGCACCTAAGTGCCATCAGCACTACAATCAATGTAATTCGCATTCTGAAAAAGATGAGGATTGTGTTTGTATTTCAATGACATATATAATCAGTCAGCTGATTAAATATATTAATATAAATGTCACAATATAAACATTAAAATCCTAAGCCTTATTTGTTTCATTTCTTTTTATTCAAAATCATTAGTTTAGGTCAATATAAACATAAGAAGATGTGTTAAGATTGCCAATGAGATAACTTTCAAATGGGAGACCAAATGGCGTAAAGTTAGCAGCTATAGCTCCCTATACGGTCTTCGACAAAGAGCAAAACCCATACGGCATATATAGCAAGCTATAAAAAGGCCCTGACATAATCGAGTTGACCTAAATCAAGTGTAAACATTCGTCACAAACCACCATGCACCAACTGAATGAATGTCATTTCTCTCTGATTAGAAGTTGCTTAGCTCTCGACCACATCCGGATATGCATATTTAAGATCAGGGTCACCTTATTTTAATATACATTACGGACAAAAGTTCACGCTGTAATATGAAGATGTTCAGATCCGGATCTTAACGCAAAACGTAACTAGAGCCAAACATGGGTAAAATGTACATAAGGTCATTTTATATTTGTATCGACTTTTATCACATGATACATCACCTGACTGCAATATTCAATATAGTAACCTACATCTTTTCTCTTATACGCAAACCAAACCTAACCAGGACGAAACTCAAACCTAACCAGGACGAAATTCAAACTCAACCAGTACGAACGATCGAATAGAAACACTACACACCCAAACGCCATTGGACGAAAGAATTATAAGGGGACGATCATTTGATTTACTAGGGTGTGGGTAGTGGTGGGGGAGGTTATCAGGGGAATTTTGAAAATGAATATACTGGGCTGGTAGGAGCAAAAAATGAATAACCTTGCACAAGATAGGATAGAAATGAATAATCTTCGACACAAAATGCAGGAGTACAAAAGTGAAAATAAATTTTCGCGCGGCCGCGGAAACAAATAAGCATACGTACTAACAAACACATCCCCCTAGAATCAAAGGTCGTCTCTTCTTCTATGCTTAGTAAAACATATAAATTAGATTATACATAATACTTTTTTTTACCTTTTACTTATCTAAAATTGTTTATTTCTAAAGATATGACAAATACGTTAGAAAAACAAAAGTTGTCTTTCTTCTTGTAAAAAAGCGAGGAAAACTGCTAAAACTGTACATGCGCTACTGTATTTGCAGAAAAAAGCAATTGCTATGAAAATATCATATGGGGAAAAAATCATAATTCAATATATTTTGTTTATATTTAAAATCCTCGGGGTATTTCACAACTAAAAACATTTATCAATGATTACGTTATTTATAATATATTTAAGAAAATTGTTTGTCTGTGCTTTACTTTACAATGTTAGTCCTCATCATTGTGCGTTATTGCATAAAAGCTTTATAATTAAATTACAGATGTGTTATTATAAGGATTGCAACATTTTGATAAGAAGACGACGATCACGTGGTGTTCAAATTGAAGTTTTGCTTTTAAAATGACACTTCCATCACTCCATAAGAGTAACTACAACAATGCAAAGAAACATTGAAAACAAAACAAACGAACAGTTTGATTGAATTTCTAGTCTTGAGCATTTAAATGCAATTATAAAAATTAAATGCTTCTTTTTGTCATTTTATTGGGTTGTAAAATGATGCTCTATTGATTGCCTTTATCATGTTTATATGTTTGACGAAATGATAATGTGCTACGGTCAATATTCACATATCTTATATTAATTTAAAGTTTAGTGAAAAGCGCAAATTCTAACAGGAAATCTAATTTATATAAAAAGAAAGTTAGTGAAGAACAAGTATAGGAATGTCTAGATCATATTAGTTTACATTCTACTGGTCTTTAGGGGCCTCGGTGGCCGAGTGGTCTAAGTAGTTACTACTGTAATCACTAGCCAGTCAACACTGAGGTTGTGAGTTCGAACCCCGCTCGTGCGGGTGCACTCGACTCCAATCTTAATTGACTAGGATTACCAGTTTTCCTATCGAAGGTCGGTGATTTTCTCCGGGCACTCCGGCTTCCTCCACCAATAAAAACTGGCCGCCACGAAATAGCCCAAAAGCGGTGCTTAAAAGTGGCGTTAAAACACCAAAAATCAAATCAAATCAAATCTACTGGTCTTTGAAAGAAACTTGTTAATATATTAATTCATGATTTAAGTCGAAAGAGACATTTCCCAAATGCATGTTTTTTTTCAAAAAATTTCATGCAATAATAAAATGGATATTGATATGATAATAAAAAAATATGTATTTTCACTTACCTCTGTTTTCTTTATGACTGAAACAATCGTACTTAGTCGTTAACACTGAAACAATCGTACTTAGTCGTTAAATAACTAGGTATTATATCACTAACATACGTTGATAAGGTCCTGTTGTAAATCTTTTCAATAACATATTTTATTTTTATTACATGTTAATAGTTTAATTATTTTCAAGCATCTTTATATAATTTTGAATCCGTGATTGGTTTTATATTAAGTCTTTTAATCCGTTTATCATAATACAGAAGAGAAAGGGAAGTATGACCCGAACAATAACGCTGTATGGAGTTTGCGACCAGACGTCAAATAGAAAGAGCACATCGTTTTACAGATCATTTGGCAAGAATGATAAAATCTGTCAGCATATCGTTTAAAATCATTAGAGAAACAGATTCCACCATCAAATGTCGTGCAATACGATATTTCTCCACTCTCGTCCTACTGGTATTTGCAAAATACTAGACCAACGAATTGCGGACTTTTCTATTTAACACAAAGAGAATGTTAACCATAAAAGAAATAGCTTTAACAACTCTTGAAAATTGGAAATCGCTTGATATCAACTCTCGTTATTTAATTTAAATACTGATGATAAACTCGCCAAAGGCTCGTTTATTATCATATTGAAATCAAATAACTCGAGTTGATATCAAGCGATATGCAATTCTCACTAGTTATGAAACTTATAAGTATTTGTGATCTCCTATTAACTATTAACTAGCTATATACCAACTTTTATCTTACTCATTACTGCTGATTACATTTTGGAATAAATACTTTTCTTTTTTCCTTGAGGACCCGACATACTCTACTATATCTAGAAGATGCCTTTCTACAATATCCGCTGGCCTTCAATTACGAATACTGGTTATTTGACCAACATATCGCAATCGTTTTTTCGAACAATCAAGTTATTGAAAAAAAGAACCTTAATAATAAATCGTCGTACTTTAGACGTTTATGCTAATATATGTGCACTATTATTTCAATAACTAAATATATATATGCAGACGGAAAAATGGTGTCAAAATATTACCTCTCCTGCAAACACTGAAAACTTGATCTTTTCAATGTTTGTCCCGTTTTACCGAGGACGCTATTAATAATAAATTCACAATTATAAAACATTCTGGTAAATATACATAGTAACAATAGAACTGAATTGAAATAAAAACAAAATTTCCATACAATGTTATCATTTTCCCACCCGTAATAGCAAACGACGAGTACAGTAGGCTATAGGAGCTTTGTGTAAAATTCGTATAAAATGTTATTATGCGAATACATTCATGGCGTACCAATTTCAGTTATTTTTCTACTGGCTATGGAACATGCCAATTAGCCGTACATGTATGTAGCTATATCAGAGAAGCTAAGGATAAAATACCAAAAGAATCGATTGATATGCAGCAAAGATTAACATTTTTGAAATGAAGTTGCTAAGAAAATTCAAGCGGACTTTATTCCTATTGAAACATTAAATGCGAATACATCGAGAAGACCGCAAATACATGAACAAAAATCGACCGAGTCTCGACCTATTCTTAAAATTGTAAAAGAAAAATTAGTAAACAAGTTTTAACGGATTGAACCTACTAACTACCGACACTCAAATTATTTTTCCATTTCCATGAAGTTCATCTCTAGAAATTCCATACCATCTTCCCGTTTCTATTGTAATTTTAAGGTTCCACACCGGATTTTAATGATATTGTCACAATCTGAAAATGAGTGTTGTTATATATTATAGATATTTATGGAACGGTTCAGGTTCAACTTGAACATCTTTAGTGGACGGTTCTGTTTCAGCTCGGGCTACTTTAGACCTGTTAGAATCCGCTTGAATCTCCTCTGTTGAATCCGACGGGTCGCTCACAACCGTTTCCCTGATGTCCGTACATTTTGATGTGGAAGCTGTTTTAGCAACAATTTCGCTATTTTTTTTCGTTCTGTTTTATTCCATTTTTTTTTTTTCTTACATTCGTCTCTAAAAATAACAATCAATAAATAAATATTTATGTCAAATTGTCTAATGTTTGAGGGGGCGTGCAGGGATACTCCATCCCCTTAAGCCTAAATCCACTTCCTCTACCCGAATCCCATAATTGCAACTCAATATCCCTACTTCCTTCCAATCCCATAACTCCCGCCAAATCATGTTACAAAATTGGAAAACATTTCAATCAAATCGCATTTTTAATATAAAAAAAAATAATTTGATCCCATAAGTCAAAAATAGCAAAAAGACTACAATCAGACTTTCATACATTTTTACGCATAGAATAGTGCATTTATAATTTTCGATAACAGAAAAAGTACAAGCTATCAAAAGGACAAAATTAAGGGGGGAAATAACTTAACCAATGTTGTTTTTCATTTCATTTTTGTGTGTGTGTGTTTATGGTTTGTTTCCATGTCTTTTTGGTTTTGTTAATTGTGTTTACGTCTTCCTTGTTATTCATTTTTCAAGGGGGATGGCTGCATACGCAAATTTCTTACCGGATAGATTCATTTGCAATTTTGTCTTGAGGCGTGGCCATAAGTTTAGCAAGTTTCGTCGAAATACGATTTTTTAGTTGTTTTGTAGATTATTTCTCATACAGCGCGTCATTGGGAACTGAATCAATCTTTGTCTTTAAGTTTTCTACTATTTGTCCTCAGGAGCAGAGCTGAAGTTGGTAAGCTATTGAAAGAAGAACAACTTCTTGGTCTGACACAAACACACTGGTTGTCTTCCTCATTAGAATAATTGGTTCTGAAATAAATTATTATCTTCATATTTTTTTTTATTCATTTGGTTTAAAGTACCGAATCGAACACATGCGCCTCATCTCCGCGCCAATGATATACCCTTTCGTGACCTTATTTCCAGATATACTTTTTTTTTGATGTATGAAACCAGTGGAATATAAATACAGGGAGGGAAAGGAATAATATGCTGGAAAGATTTCATTCAACACTCTTTAAGTTTTACCCGACCCTAGGACATATCAGAGATGATAAAAAAATAATTTGTTTCTTGCCATCGGTTTAAAACATTATCGTTAGTATGACAATAAGTTATGACATGCATATTCATATATTTGAAATCTGTTATTCTAAAATTAAAACGTCAATACACAGTTTTGTTTACCCGCTTAGGCGTATTAATCACAAATATATAATACAGAATTTAGAATCAACAATGTTGAACAAAACATTTGATTATTTTGTTTCCTTTGCGTATTTTTTGTACATTGTAAACGAATTAATTGCAGCTACATTTCTAGTGTAACATGGTGAATGTATTCGGACTGTTCAATTGACTTAGTTGTTATTTGTTCAGTGATATTCTTTCATTTTATCGTCTGCATCTTTAGATTTTTTTTAATTATACAGTATTTAATATAAAAATAAGGAGATGAGGTGTGATTGCCAATGAGACAACTATCCACTAAAATTCAAATAAAGTGGATGTAAGCAATTATAGGCAATCGTACGGCCTTCAACAATGAGAAAACCCCATATCATATAATCGGCTATAAAAGGCCCCGACATGAAAAATACGAAACAATTCAATTGAGAAAACTAACGGCCTAATTCATAACAAATGAATTTACGAAAAACAAATATGACAGACATGAACCAACGACAACCACTGAACTACAGGCTCCTTCCTGACTTGGGACAGGCACATAAAAAATGTGGCGGGGTTAAACATGTTTGTGAGCGCTCAACCCTCGCCCTAACAAGGGACAGTGGTGTAATAGCAATTAGTCTATATTATCATTGCATTAATTTCATAACGCTAGCTTCAGCCTTTCACCATAACCTGTGATATATTCGATAATTTAGCCATAAAAGGTTTCTTAGCATTTTGTTGGTATTTTTTTATGAATTTGGCAGTCTAGTTTTAAATAATAGTTTTTTTCTCAGCGTGAATTTTAAATACTAGTATGAAATTGGAAGGAGATAGAGGTGCATGTTGGGAGTATTTTAAATTCTAAACTCTTTAATCGTAAAACTCAAACACATACAAAAATAAGAAGATGTGGTATGACTGCCAATGAGACATTTCTCCACAAGAGACCAAAATGACACGAAAAAGTAACAACTATAGGTCACCGTACGGCCTTCAACAATGAGTTAAGCTCATACCGCATAGTCAGCTTTAAAAGACCCCGAAATGACAAATGTAAAACAATTCAAACGAGAAAACTAACGGCCTGATTTACGTACAAAATAATGAACAAAAACAAATATGATATACAGAAACAAACGACAACTTCTGATTTACAGGCTCCTGACTTGGGACAGGCACATACAGATTGCGGCGGGGTTAAAGTAATTTGTTCGCGCCGAACCCTCCCCTTAACTTAAGACAGTGGTGTAACGGCACAACATAAGAACAAACTATGCAACACAATAAACGAAAAACAAATATGAGAAACAGCAAAAAACAACCAATCACTCACAGGCTCGTCGTGTTGCTCATGTGAGTACAAACCCGGTGATAAATGTAATCGGTAGGTCACATTCGAGGAAAAGGGAACGGTATTGTAGTTACGACAATTGGAACATATCTGTCGTCATCTGTGAAACAGATATTCCATAACGATCAACCAACTCGTGATGGAGTCTGTAAAACTAACGAATGGATGATTTCAACTTCACCACTTGGAACTCTTGGTTTAATGGCTTCCTTGTGAACAGCAACCCTCTATCAAGGAAATCATTATAGGAAATACAAGCCCTGGAATATCGTATCAACTGGGAGATGTATACTCTGTATGGAGGCGCTGCTGGAATGTTGCTACATAGAAATGGAAAGTTCACAATTGAGAAGCTGAAATCATCTCTTTTGTGGTAAAGTTTTGTTTTCAACCAACCCTCAGTAACCTTAAAAATATTAAAAATTGAAAACCAATCAAAAGAAAGAGAAAAAATCTCAACCCTCTAAGACAATCCTTCAACATATTAAAATCATTACAAACCTGCTCGTGCATTTTTCATTGTTATTCAACGCAAAATAATTATCTAAGATACCTGGGACGATCTCATT